TATTCCGAACATTTATCAATTGAACAATTTGTTATTTCAATTAGATCAAATTTTATTTCTATTATAATAATAATAATAATAATAATAATAATAAAAAATACTATAATATATTTAATTGTAATATTTAATATCAAAATATATATATATATGTAGAAATATTTTGTAATAAACTAGAATACATTTTCGTGTATGTAAGAAACAAATTTTGAAAAATATTGTCACAAATAGAAAAATAGAAAAATAGAAGGAAAAAAAAATATATATATTAATCATAAATTAATACAAATGTTAATATAATTGATAAATAATATGATTTTTCTTTCTGATAAGGCACTTCGAACAAGAATGCCAGTCATTAATAAATAAATTCGATAAAATATGAATATACATATATGTAAAATATATGAAGTATGTAACACAAAAAAAAAATAAAAATAAAAAAAAAAAGAATAGTCTCGTGAAAATAGAGAAAAGTATTATAAAGTACTTGTTGCGCTTGTTTTAGTTTCTCTTGAACGTTACACACACATATCCAAACACAAATACACATAGGACATATAGACACACACCGTTAGTGATCACAGTTCGCGTGACGCACTCAGGTAAGGTTCGCGTAAAACACGCTCCGTTGTTAAAAAAAAAAAAAAAAAAAAAAAAAAAAGAAATAATGTGCTTTTCCTTTCGATTTTATGCAAATCCGTATCGCACGTTAACCAGCTGGAAATATTTTTCTTATCGTTTACGCAGTTATAACCGGAGAGTTCACATTAAAAAACCCACCAACGAACGAAGCGTTCTCGTTTAACTCATATTCGATGTATATATAATAATATACATAAATGTTAATATATATATATATATATTATAAATATTCATAAGTATATGCAAAAGTATAATGTGTGTGTGTGTGTCTGTGTATGTGAAAGAAATAGAAATAAAAATAGAAAAATAGAATACGTCAAAGTGTTTTCAAATGTATGAACATTTGTTATACAACAAAAAGTTTGTAAATATTTTTGTCTTAATATTTTTTATGAATATTATAATATATGAAATTAAATTATAAACTTTTAATTGATAACCGAGTTACGGTGCTACGAGATTTGATCTGTGAAATTCTGTGAAACTAATTGTATGTTGGTGATAATTTATCAATTGGTGAATCATTTCTATAATTATTGCCAAATATTTTTTGTATCAAACGTGTAAATAAAATAAATAAAATTAATAATATAAAAAAAAAATAATATGAAATTTTAAAAGAAACTGATTATTTAATTATTATATATTAATATTTATATAATGAAATAATATATAATATATAATAAATATAATATTAAAATATAATATAAAATAAATCAATAATATATTTATATATAATTATTTAATAATTAAATAATCAGTTTCTTTTATTTTTAATCTAAATCATTAAATAACAGTTATCCTTTATTTTTATTTTTATTTTTATTTTCTATATTCCCATCTTCATTTTCTTCCTAATCTAGAAATTTTTTAGAGAAACAGAGTGAAAAAATAAACTAAAAAACTCAAATAAGTAACCTTTTTAGCTAAAACACGTACATAGCAGTTTCCCTAAATACTTTTCAACCCAAATCGTAATTTACCAAAATAACGTTTACCCTAAAAACTCGAATCAAACTCAACCACCCCTCCCGAACTTATGTCACTTTAAGTTTCCAAGTATATTTCGAAGTAAAAAAAAAAAATGTATGATAGTATCCGATAATTTTTCTTAACGAAACAGTTTAGCGACGCCTTTCGAATATCGAAAACCTGGTTAAAAAAAAAAAAAAATACTTATGGGATGAATGAAGAAGAGAAAAGGTGTTTCGTTTAGGTTCTCAGTTTCTTCGATTCTCGTACTACAACCGGCTGGTTCGTTTGGTTGGTTTGGTTTGGTTTGGTTTGGTTGGTTGGTTGAGGTTCACTCACTTACTATACTCTTTCTACTGTATTGCAACTTGCTCGAGGGCTCGCATCGTTTATTGATCTTTTTTCTTACTTACTCACTTCCTTCCTTCCTTCCTTCCTTCCTTTCTACCTTAACGTATCCTTCCTTTCCAACCTTCTCAACCCACCTTCACTTCCTTTCCTTTCTTACGTTTTCTTTTTATATCTTCCTACTTCGACGGTATTTCTCACTTTAACGTTAATTCACTTAGCGTCGCGTTACCGATATAGTATATATATATATATATATAGGTATATATGTATTTATGTATATATGTATATATACAGACTCAAAACCGTATTTCTATGTACAGCGTTTTGAGAAAAAAATATTATCATCCACGTGTTACGATATTTATTTAGTTGTTTTTTTTTTTTTTTTTAATTTTTATTTTTCTAATATTTTATTTTAATTTTTTTTCTTTAGTTTATTCTTCTACAAGAAGAAAATTAAAAAAATATTGTTTTATACAAACCATAATTTATTTGTAATATAATTAATATACCTATGAGATAATACCATAATTAAGATATCAAAATTTAATCACGATTTAATAATAAACGATTTTACTTTTATTAATTATTATAAGTATATATATATATACATTCAAAACCGTATTTCTCTATCTACAACGTTTCGAAAATAAAATATTCTCATTCACGTGTTACCTTATTTATTTATTTATTTATTTATTTTTATCTAATTTTTATTTTTATTTTTGCGTAATTTATTTTTCA